TAATTTGTATTGCAAACGTACACAGGGCCGAGCTCCAATTGGCCAGCGTGCTGTTGTCAAACTCCCGCCCTCCAAAGGAGCGAACCTGCAGCTGCAATGCGCCGTATCACCTGAGGTGGGCCTGGTGCACTACGCTAAACAGAGAGGCAGCATTAAAATGGAGGTCAATGCTGCGTTTGTGGACGCGGTGTACGAGGCGGTCAAGCACCACGACGTGTACCGCAACCACTTCGCTGGCAAGACGGTTGTCATTGTCTTAGACAACGCTCCTGCTCATAGCCAGACTGAGGATCTGATTACTGAGCAGGAGGACTTGGAGCTGTTGCGGTTGGCGCCATACTCCCCCATGTGTAACCCGATTGAGGGTACGTTTTACAGACAATTATAGCGTGCACATGTACTAACATTTGTGTCTATTTTACTGTGCGACAGGGTGTTTTAGTGTATTAAAAGCACGCATTAAGGCTTATCTTGCCTTAAGTCATGATGAAATGTTTCTTGCTCCACACGGAGAGAAAACAGAGCGCCGGATGCAGCTGCTTGAAAACGCTGCAGAGCATAGCTTGCCATGTATGGATCTGCGCTTGGTTAACAAGATGGCGCGCCACTGTGCGTTGTCAGTGGCGGCAGCTATTCGTAGCGAACCTATGGAGTACGGCACGTAAAGTTTTGCACTACACTAAATCAACTTTGCATGACAGGCTTTTTCTAAAAAAATAAAATTCAAAAATTAAAAAAACTAATTACGGACGTTCCACTTTGCTTTACACTGTCGCGATTTGGACTGGCAAAGGTGTAGTCGTAACAACAGTTAGTTGCAGGGACTGAAAATCCAGCAGGGGAGAAAACCGAGTGCTGCTGCTTGCTCTTGAGGGCGCAAGTTGTCGAGTGTGTAGCAGCACACGGAAAACCCCCGGTAACATATATTCGTAGGATTAGCAGTAGGATGGGGCTGGCGGCTCGCCAGCCAATGGTCCGTCGAAGTCCGGCTTCTGGACGCGAGCATCGCGTCCTGGAGGCACCTGAGCCTCAGGTTTGAGCTGGACGCAGCTTCGTCCTTGGTAGCGCTCTTCCCCCTTCTTGTCCTTCGCATGCATGAACTGGTAGTAGTAGCTTGCATTCACGCATGGCGATGATGTTTGGCTCCCACTGAACGAGCTGAGCCTTGCTGACGGTGATGCGCAGCACCTTCATCCCATCACGGCAATGTTCGAACTTGTCCTTCGGCAATGGCTTCGTCATCGCGTCGGCGATCATGTCTTCGGTGCCAACATGGCGAATCCGTAACTGCTCGTCCTCCACGAGGTGGCGCACCAAGTGGAACTTGTTCATAATGTGTTTGTTCTTGCTGTGTTTGCCAGGCTTGGCAGTCAGATAGATGCACGACTTGTTATCGCCGATAATGTCCGGATTCGCGAACTCCCAGCATAGTTCTTCACAGAGTCCACGTAGCCACTGTAGGTCTATAGTACCTTCAGTCGTGGCAATTAACTCTGCTTCCGTTGTGCTCTGTGCGTTAATATCTTGCTTTCTTGATCCGTACGAAACCACGTTACCATTGACGAACGTCACGAACCCGCTTACACTCTTTCGGTCATCAGGGTCATTAGCGTAGTCAGCATCGGTGTAACACGTCAGCTTGACGTCGTTCCCAATAACAATGTCCATCACTAAGCCGTGGTCTTGAGTACCACTCAGGTAGCGTAACACCCTCTTTCCCATAGCGAAGTGTGTGTGGTCGAAGCAGGACAGGTACTTGCTGAGATTACGCACAGCGTGCGCAATGTCCGGCCTTGAGGCTGAGACCAGATATTGTAGTGCACCAACGAGCTCTCGGTACGGGGGCGGGGAGTCATCTTTCGCATCTGTGGCCACCTCAGCGCGCAGCGCTTCCGGTGTTGCAACCGCATTGCAACCCTCCATGTGAAATCGCTTTAGCACCTCCGTAATATGTTGCCGCTGGCAAAATACCGCATGTCGACGCTCGCTGTCGATCAGTATCTCCACGTCTAGTAGATACTTGACTAGTCCGAGAGATATGAGTTCATACTCCTCACTGAGTTGCTTAGCAACCTTAGCGCAAAGGTCACTAGGGCCAAGGAGCAGTAGGTCGTCGACGTACACCGTGAGCAGCATGGTGACTTCTCCTCCCACTTTCCTGGCGTAGAGTCCGTAGTCAGAGTCGAGGCGCGAGTCCGATCTTCGTCAGGAACTAAAGCAATGTCTTGTTCCAAACGCGAGGCGCTTGCTTTAGCCCATACAAACGCTTCTGTAGCTTGAATACGTAGCGCGTAGAGTCTTCTCCGAAGCCTGGAGGCTGCTCCATGTAGACCTCCTCGTCGAGATCACCGTACAAGAACGCGGTCTTGACGTCGAGCTGCAAGATGGCCCATCCGCGTTGCAGTGCGTATACGATCACGCATCTGATCGTCTCAAATCTGATAACAGGTGCGTATGTTTCACTGTAGTCGATGCCCATGCGTTGTAGAAAGCCTCTGATCACCAGTCGAGCTTTATATCGCTTGATCCGGCCCGTAGAGTCTCTCTTGAGCGCGTACACCCACTTGCACGAAATAACACGCTTGCCCTTGGCCTCCGTGCGTCGCACAAGCACCCAAGTTTCGTGCTGCTGCTGTGAGTCCATCTTGACTTGCATCGCTGCTTTCCACTTCTTTGACCTTGCCGCATGCTTGTGACTAATGGGGATCTGCACATCCTCGACGTTCTGCCTCGTCACATTCGTCACTTCGTAGTCCTTGAGTCGGGGGGGATGGCTGTCGCTTCCGCTTCGGTCGCGAGGTAGCTGCACTGTCGTCTGGCAACGACTTCTGCTTCGTGCATGGCTCCCAGTTCTCGTCTTCGTGAGCGTCACGTCGACTGTCCTTGGTCTTCGAGGCTCCCACTCGATTTGCACATGCTTTCGCCTTATTCTTGCCCTTTGTGTTCTTCCGCTTGGAACCTCCCACTGAAGCTGCTGGCTTCTTAGTGTCCTCGCTTGATAGCTGTGGGTCATCACTTCGAGTCGCAGACTCGGCTTTAACTTCAACACCTTGGTCATGGCTCTCACCAGCAGTGGCCAGCTTCGCGATTTCCGCTACTCGCCTTTCTGCAAGCTCTGCAGGCAGCTGCAGGTACGTAGACATTGTCGTCCGGATCGGCACGATCGGGATCTCCGCAGGTAAGTCGTAGTCTCCGTAAGCGTTGGTGTTTGCAAGAAGTTGCTCAATATACACAGTGTTCACCGTGTACTTCTCATGTGCCTTCATGTTTCCATCTCTGCACGTCGTCACTGATCCTGTGCACAGGTTCAGCAGCTTATAGCCCTTGGTCTTCTCGCTGTAGCCAAGTAGTAAGCACATCTGCGTCCTTGGAGTGAGCTTCTCCTTTCTCTGCCGAGAATCGTCAGAGATGTGTGCGTGCACCAAGCACCCCCACGTGCGCAGCACGCTGAGGTCTGGCCGCTCTCCGTACAGGGCCTCGTACGGGGACTGCTGGTCCTTCAACACCGGCGTCGGCGTCTTGTTGAGCGTCTCAATTGCATGTAGGAAGGCTTCTCCCCATAATGAAACAGGCATTTGCGTAGCTTGTAACATAGATCTGACCTGCCGCATGGCAATCTGGTTCGTGCGCTCCACGATAGCGTTCTCCTGAGGGCTGTAGGGATTGGATGAACGCGTGTCGATGCCGAGGTCCTTGCAGAAGGTCTCGAGCTGCATGTTGACGAACTTGCCACCACCATCAGAGAACAGCATCTTGATGGTCGCCTTCGGGAACTGGTTCTGGATCCAGCGAATCTGCTTCTGAATCAGCTCCGTGGCTTCGTCTTTGTAGGCTAATAGATATCCCCACTTGTATCTCGTAGCTTCGTCGATATCAATAGAAACTGGTTTGATTTCGATATTGTATCCACTCCAACACTGCATAGGTCGACACAAAGCTTGTGCAAGGGCTTTGCAGAGCGAGACGGCTTGCGCTTGTAGCTCATGCGCTTCGTCTTTGACTC